CGTGGGAACATAAACCTACGCCACTACAGGTACAATCTTCATTTTCACTACTACATGGTTCATTTACTGTTATTTTAAAGAATTTGAAATATTTCTTTTGTCATTAATATTTGCTTTGTGTTTAAAACTGTTCATCATTTTTTTAAAAAACTCTCTAGAACTAGTTGGTAGCAGGACGACAATCCTGTGATAGTTGACCTACCGGTATATAGAGTTAGCTGATAACACATAACTCGGTGTTTGAAGTTTTGTTTCTCAATTATGAATGTTATGTGATAAATAGAATCTTACATAGAATCTTGCAGTTTTCAGAAGAAAAAAAAGAAACAATAAAACCATATTATATGGCATAATAAAATTTACTTCCTCCCATGAGAGAAACGGGATGGTGAAATTCAATATTGGCCTCTTGGGGTGAGTCAGGGTCTTAAGTTTGATAGCATCAAACTGCACTCTCATGATAATAACTCCAAACAAGTTTGAATTCTTTCCCATGGAAATAAGCAACACATATACAAAAGTGTTATTTCCACATATAAACTACGGGAGACCTTGGGGGAAGAGATGTTCACAATTTTAATTAAGACTTTTCCATCAATAACAGTATATGACACCAGTATATTTGGTCTGAAGAAGAAGAATGTTGAAATGTTTAATACAAAATTTGTGAAAAAGTACACTCAATGATGACGGTGGAATTCTATTTTAAGTGACAGCAATCTTGACCTTTAACAGATCATGTCCATATTCGACCATTAACAAGGGTATGTTCAAGGCATACAAACCGGGGCCACGGTGGCCAAGTGGTTAAGGCGTCCGACATTCTGCTACCACTAGCCCTCCACTACATTACCTGGCGACTGCCCCACGTAGGTCCCAAACCAGCGGCTAGTGGTAGCAGAGTGTCAGACACTTGGCCACCGCGGCTTCCTATACAAAACCAGTGTTATATTATTTGTACCATTCAGATTATTGTCAATTTATATCATTTGCATTTGACAGTTTTTTACATTGTGTTTTTCATCTCCCACTTGTCACCCTTGATCTTCATATCCTATTGCCCATGCAGCTGATAAGAAAAAGCAAAAAAAAATACAACAAAATATCCAAGATATTAATTTTCTTAGTGTTTTAATTATAATTTATTAGTACTGCGATCATCAATAAAATTGTCAGTGCTCAGATCAATGATCACCACATGTTTAGAATTTTATCAAAATATGGTTACCAGCATTTAATGCCTGGTATTAAACATTTACATACTGTTGCACAAACCGGTATTTACATCTACACTTCAATTACTGTACATGTTTACACAATTTACTTTGTATCAGAAATATAAAAAATATGTTTTATATTATAAATGCCAGCCATAAAAAACACCACACAGCAGCACACTAAGTGACTACACTATGTGCAACCTTACCAAACATAGCCACAATTCAGTTCCTGTTATGATCCTGACAACTCGGTCACAATGCTTATCTTATCACATCGACTGAACAAAACACTTAATATGCCAAAGCTATGTATTTTGCATTTTAAAGCAAGTCCAGTAACACATGTGTTATGTGTAGTAATCAATGTCACTGGCTATCAGAGAACTTATGACCATGTACTTTGAATTCAGGACCTTCAAATATAATGTCAAATAGAGTGTCAACAATTATTTCACATCATATGCAAATCTGCAATGGCAACTGAGAGGCTGTTTAAGGGGAACACTTTAGTTGTGGTTAAGCAAACGACAAGAATCGTGCTTAAAATGGGCATTGTTACTAGTAGGAAAATCTCCACAACTCTGGTAACAGTTGTTAATCATATTTTCTAGCTCAAGCTATCTGATTTTCAAATTTCAAAAAGACAAGCCTTACTGAGCAATCAAATTACGTTTAAAAGTCAGATAAATGTGATAGACCACCATCACTCTTGGAAGTTTTAAGATATCACAATTTACCAACCACATGAAAATATTTTGCTTTTACACATTGACAGTATTTCCTCAATTTTCATGCCATTTTAAAATACATACAATAAGTATCAAAACTAACTTTTCATACAAACATAAACATGAAAATTTGTCTGCATAATGTTTATAATTCACATTTTGATTTTGACATTATCATACTTGCCAACCCTCCCTATTTAGGAGGGAGACTCTCAATTTTGGACCCTTATATTTAGCGTTTTCAAACTTTGAATTTGCTAGAATATTCCCTGTTCTAAGATCTAATGATTTCATCTCAAAAAATGTCATTTAAAGGGTTATTTTGTCACTAGGGGGTATAAACTAACATTTTTGATGAGCCGTACAATTCAAAGTAATAAGGTCCTTGAACTACATTACCGATAATACAAATACCTGTACTAACATTAGTAAAGGAAGCCCCAAATTTATGTAAATCCTGTGATCAAATACGCATAATGGAACGGTATTTCCAGACAGGAAATAATGTCTTTTTCTTTGTACATATCTTGGAATCACCTTCTTTATTTCTTTCACTGGAAAATGTTAATATTATGAAACTTTCACTAAATCTGTCTCTAAATACTACCAGCATTGTGCTTACCCAAATAACAGGCACATGCATAGGTTAATCTATGTATACAATACTAAAATCTTACTGTACAATTCTGTTTCCGAAAGATCTTAAAACAATATACTCCCAAATTATGGAAAAAGGAAAAAAACAAGAAAACTGGGTGCATTTTACATAAATCAGCAATGTGGATCCACACAATTTTGCTACAGTCTTTCACTGCATTTTAAAAGACGAGAAACATTTTTATTGCATAAGTTATTAAGAATTAATTCTTGACCATTAAAATAGTGAAAACATCAGGCAGAATATGTCTGATGTCCACTACAGAAATATGAGATGTAGCCATTGTCTGTATGATGTCCACTTCAGATAAAGAAGATGTGTCCACTGTCTGTCTGATATAGAAGATGTGGCTATTGTCTGTCTGATATAGAAGATGTGGCTATTGTCTGTCTGATGTCAACTACAGATATAGGAGAAGTGACCACTGTCTGTCTGATACAGAAGATGTGGCTATTGTCTGTCTGATGTCAACTACAGATGTAGGAGAAGTGACCACTGTCTGTCTGATATAGAAGATGTGGCTATTGTCTGTCTGATGTCAACTACAGATATAGGAGAAGTGGCCACCGTCTGTCTGATATAGAAGATGTGGCTATTGTCTGTCTGATATCCACTTCAGATATGGGAGATGTGGCCATTGTCTGTCTGATATACACGACTGATATAGGAGATGTGGCCACCGTCTGCCTGATGCCCATGACAGATTTAGGAGATGTGGCCACTGTCTGTCTGATGTCCACGACAGATATAGGAGATGTGGCCACTATCTGTCTGATGTCCATGACAGATATATGATATGTGGCCACTGTCTGTCTGATGTCCACAACAGATATAGGAGATGTGGTCACTATCTGTCTGATGTCCATGACAGATATAGGATATGTGGCCACTGTCTGTCTTATGTCCATGACAGATATAGGAGATATGGCTATTGTCTGTCTGATATCCACTTCAGATATGGGAGATGTGGCCATTGTCTGTCTGATATACACGACTGATATAGGAGATGTGGCCACCGTCTGCCTGATGCCCATGACAGATTTAGGAGATGTGGCCACTATCTGTCTGATGTCCATGACAAATATAGGATATGTTGCCACTGTCTGTCTGATATCCATGACAGATATAGGAGATGTGGCCACTGTCTGTCTGATGTCCACGACAGATATAGGAGATGTGGTCACTATCTGTCTGATGTCCATGACAGATATAGGATATGTTGCCACTGTCTGTCTGATGTCCATGACAGATATAGGAGATGTGGCCACTATCTGTCTGATGTCCATGACAGATATAGGAGATGTGGCTATTGTCTGCCTGATATCCATGACAGATATAGGAGATGTGGCTATTGTCTGCCTGATATCCATGACAGATATAGGAGATGTGGCTATTGTCTGGCTGATGTCCATGACAGATATAGGATATGTGGCTATTGTCTGTCTGATATCCATGACAGATATAGGAGATGTGGCCACTATCTGTCTGATGTCCATGGCAGATATAGGATATGTGGCCACTGTCTGTCTGACGTCCACGACAGAAATAGTATATGTGGACACTGTCTGTCTGACGTCCATGACAGATATAGCAGATGTGGCCACGGTCTTTCTGATTTCCACAAAAGATATAGTCGATGTGGCCACTGTGTGTCTGACGTCCACGACAGATATAGGAGATGTGGCCACTGTCTGTCTGAGGTCCACGACAGATATAGGATATGTGGCCACTGTCTGTCTGACGTCCACGACAGATATAGGAGATGTGGCCACTGTCTGTCTGATATCCACGACAGATATAGGAGATTTGGCCACTGTCTGTCTGACGTCCACGACAAATATAGTCGATGTGGCCACTGTCTGTCTGATATCCACGACAGATATAGGAGATGTGGCCACTGTCTGTCTGACGTCCACGACAGATATAGTATATGTGGACACTGTCTGTCTGACGTCCATGACAGATATAGCAGATGTGGCCACTGTCTGTCTGATGTCCACAACAGATATAGTCGATGTGGCCACTGTGTGTCTGACGTCCATGACAGATATAGGAGATGTGGCCACTGTCTGTCTGATGTCCACGACAGATATAGTCGATGTGGCTATTGTCTGTCTGATGTCCATGACAGATATAGGAGATGTGGCCACTGTCTGTCTGATGTCCACCACAGATATATAGGAAATGTGGCCACTGTCTGTCTGATGTCCACCACAGATATATAGGAAATGTGGCCACTGTCTGTCTGACGTCCATGACAGATATAGGAGATGTGGCCACTGTCTGTGTGATGTCCACGACAGATATAGGATATGTGGCCACTGTCTGTCTGATGTCCACGACAGATATAGGATATGTGGCCATTGGTATCCACCATATATATTAGGATGATGCCTCTTACGTGTTATAATATTTGTGTCCTGCCTTCTTCCAGCACAACATTACAGTCCTTCTCAAGTTTGTTCCTCAACATATCTGTCATATTCCGTTCAGCATCATCACTCTTTAACTCCTTGATACTTAGCACGGGAACCTATATAAATCGATGAAAAATATTGATGAATTGATCTTTTATGTTCCCAGAACACAACAATAAACAATCTTAAAATGTTTCTCATTGTTTACCTCTGGGTAAAGATATGCTGATTTGAATAAATTTAAACCTACCTGTAATTTATATGTAATATAAATATACATAATTTCTTACCATAGAATTTGGTATAAAAAGTGTATAAAGTAACAGAATTTTAATTCATACTTACCTCAATGACATTGTAACCTAGTATTTTCAAATGTCGTTTCTGGAGTCTGAGCATCCCTAATGGATAGCCTCCATTATATGTTGTTTGCCGTTTGTTGTATACCAAGATGGCAATCCTGAAAAAAGAGAACAAATTATAAGAAAGTGTTGCTTTCAGGATTGTATTTGAATTCCTCTTCCTGATGAAAATGATAACTTTGCAGTAAAACGATACTGACAAATGATTATAAATTAACACACTGTTATTTTTCAGGGTTTGTCCAGAGAACAATTTTCTCATCGCAAGTGGTAGACTTTATCCAGTGCGAGCGATGAGAAAATTATTCCACTAAAAATAGTCTGTGATAAACTGTTTATCATCTATATGCAACTACCTTATAGATTTATCAATTTAAAAAAATCAATTACCACCATATTTTCCAAATGACTTCTTGGTCGTCGATCGCAAATCCTTGGTTTGCGCGGAGGAATACCATGAACCTAACAAGAGGCCCTTGGGCCTTAACGGTCACCCGAGTCCTACAGTATTAAATTTTGTTGTTGAAATATGAAGTGGAGATAATGATGTCAATCATCCCTACCAAAATTTGAGTAAAAAAAAGTTAAGTATAACTTTAAGTTAAGTTTGCCAGGACCATGAGTTGATCATTCCCACCAAGTTTCAGTTAGATTGGCCCAGTAGAACTTGACTTAAAATTTGAAATAGTTCTTTAAAATGGTGTCTGTGACAGCCATATTGGATTTCTGATTGACCCCTAATATAACAACACTTTGTCAAGAACATAAGTTGATCATTCCTACCAAGTTTCGTTTAAATCGGCCAAGAAGAACTTGACTTTAAGTTTAAAATAGTTTTTTCAAAATGGCGGACGTGGCAGCCATATTGGATTTCTGATCGACCCAAAAAAAAAAGATGAACTTTGACCGGGAAGACTTTTTCCACATACTTTTTGCCGACTGCTGTTTTGTCTACGTCATCGGCTGTCAACATCCGACAAATGTTGGTGACTTTGTGAGGTTATGGGGAAAAGGGGGTTATTTAGGCAATATTAAAAGATGATACTTAAAGATTTGATCGCTAGTTTCAGGCAAAATTGCTACAGACGCTCGATATCGTTTCAACGTCACACCGTCACATGTCCAGGTTGTGAAACCAAAACAAGATTGATCTGTCACAGTGTCGGGAAATATTTTGTTCTCCCAAGGTCCCGTTATCGCCATTTAGACGGTCTGACTATGACTGAACTTTCACTATAAACGTCAACCATAGAACCGTCATGAAGAAACGTAGGCCTATGGTTTTGGATATTGACAGCGATAAGTTCGTCTACAACGGTGAGTTCATCACTTGGCGGGAGGCAGACTTTGTACGATATGCTTACGCGCATATAGTCCGTGGTTAATTTATATAAATTAATGCAATACTGCTACTCTCAATATTTAAAGTCGTTCATCTATTTTATTTTTTCATTAAGTTGTTGCCGAAACATTAATTTTGACAATATTTAAATTTATAAAAAAAAAAAGAAGTCATTTTTGAATATTAATGAGTGACTTTTTACATATGGGTCATATCACTATGCCAGCCTTGTCAACAAACACATGTGTGTATGTTATTTCCAACTGATCATGAGATTGTGGTAGAAACAGATCACACGACTCGTGGTTGTTGAGTATGGTATTTATTTCACTCTCGTTAGTTAATTTTCAAAAGTTACAGAAAGACACTCGCTAAAGCTTGTCTTTTGTAACTTTTGAAAATTAACTAACTCGAGTGAAATAAATACCATATTCAACAACCACTCGTTGTGTAACCTCTATATAACTTACTATTGCCATTCATCAGATGTGATACAGTGTCAGCCACGTCTGACGTGTGTGAAACTGTGAAGTCAAGTAGAGTAACTTTAACTACCGATACTTTCTTTTTATGTTGTGAATGAACATTTTAAGTAAATCATTTTAAATGCTACTAAAAACAGTCCTACTTTACAAGCAGAATGAAACTTATTACAGCATGAAATGATATCATTCTAGCTTATCCTATGTAGCTGCCACTTGAACTTTGTAGTGTCTGTATTCTCCTTGTTCTAGAGGACAGAAATGTGAACATTCTATTGATGTGGTATATTTTGGTTTAAATAGCATGTTTATTACAAATAGGCATCATTTGTCTATGACCATACCCGATGTGTGAATGCTTGAAGGTACTGGGGAGTTTGTGGTAGGGGACTGGATCAAATGTTGTGGGTCTGTTCTCCTCATCAAGTCTGATTTCCATAACTGTAATAGAAGGTGACAAAACTTTATAATAACAAACAATTTGTCAATACAACCAAACATGATATGATAAAAATACAACTCCTATTTTTCAGTATAAAGGATGATCTGTCTTCTTATTAAAATATTGTTTAGATGTGATGGTGAAATCAGCATGTAAACTAAGTGAAATACAATACTTAAGCTTGTCATGTCATCAAAGGATAAGAATTTTAAAATATTGGTAAATGTCCCCTTTGGGGCCCCATCCTAGCCCCTGGGGATGGGACAGGAATTCCAATTTTACAATGTAATACCCTCTTCCTCCAAGAATAATTCTCACCAAATAAGAATAATTTCCAACAGAAAATTGTCAAAATATACCCAAAAGTGTTGTTTCCCTATATAAACTATAGAAAACTTTACCCCCTCCCCAAGGGAGAACAAATAGCTTGGGGGTCCTGAAATTTACAATTTAAATAAAGCCCCTGATGATTTTTCCCTCCATGCAGAAAAAATGACTGTAGTACCTCTGAGTCTGGAGAAGAAGATTTTTGAAATATTGGTTAATTTTCCCTTTGGGGCCCACCCTGGCCTCAGGGGTTGAGGTAGGAATCCCAATTTTACAATTTTGTAGCGTCATCAACCAAGGATGATTCTGACCAAGTTTGAAATAATTTCATCTGGTTCTTGAGAAGAAGTTGAAAATGTATAAAGTTTACACACGACGAGGGACGGAAAGTGATAGAAATAGGTCACTTGAGCAGGGGGCAGAGGGGAGGGCCTGAATAGGGGAAATAGAGGTAAAACCTTTAGAATCCTTCTCCTACCATAGGGATCAAGGGATTTTATCTTAATTTAGTGTGAAGCATCCTTGGGCCAAGGGGACCAAATTTTGCATAAACGGTGGGTGTGGCCCCCCTGGGGTAAAGGGTCGGGGTGAATAGGGGAAATAGAGGTAAAACCTTTAAAATCCCTTAATCATAATTTATACAAAATTGAGTACCCTTTACCTAAGGATGTTCCAGACCAAATTGGGATGAAATCCCTTAATCCCTAAGAAAAAAGAGGAATTTTAAAGGTTTACCTCTATTTCCCTTATTTGGTCCAACCTCTCTGCCCCCAGGGGAGGGGGGCAACACCCACCGTGTATCCAAAATTTAGTCCCCTTGGCCCAAGTATACTACAGACTAAATCAGGATAAAATCCTTTTATCATTACGCTGGAAGAAGGATTTAAAAAGTTTTACCTCTATTTCTCCTAATGGGCACCTCTCCTCCGCCCCCTAGTGGTGCCACACCAACTGTTTATACAAAATTTAGCCCCCTTGGCATAAGGATGTCCCATACCATACTGGGATGAAATCCCTTTATCCCTATGGTAGAAGAAGAATTTTAAAAGTTAACCTCTATTTCCCCTATTCAGACCAACCCCACTGCCCCCAGGGGGGCACACTCACTGTTTATACAAAATTGAGACCCCTTGGACCAAGGATGCTTCCAACAAAATAAGGTTAAAATCCCTTAATCACTATGGTAAAAAGAGGGATTTTAAAGATTTTACATCTATTTCCCCTATTCAGCTCTGCTCCGCTGCCTCCACCGACTGTTTATGCAAAATTGAGTCCCCTTGGCCCAAGGATGCTCCAGACCAAATTTAGTTAAAATCCTCTAAGCCAATCAGGACTAGTAGTGTTTTAAAGGCAAAGTTGACGGACAGACGACGGCACTGCGCCATGGCCTAAGCTTACCTGCCCTTAAAAATCCACTTGCCCAATGCCAGGGACAAACAGTTTTAGCTGTAGAACTGTAATTTAGTGAGATACACTTTTATGACAGTTATAACAATAACATACAAACCAAAAAGTTCATGAAAAACGACTTTCGTTTCGTTTTGAGGGAAAATCTGTCAATAGAATATTAGCCAATGTGAATGCCAATTGGTTACATACATATCCTTTAAAGCCTGCTAGTTATAGGGCTTCATGGTAAATATGTACTATATAGCCAATTTATTATTTGTCAGGAATACCTAGCCTAATAATATGGACAGATATCCGACAAAGATTGTATGATTTTATACCGATTTCATACACACATAATGAAAATCGCAAAATTCAGCAAATCATTGGACAGGATTGATGACCTACTGAAGTCAGTACAGCCTAGAAATTGTTTATATAATAATAAAACATTTTTACATATGACACAGTATAAAAACAGCGACATAACATATCTATTTTTATCTTAAGTATACAATATCACGTCTAGTTAATGGTTTGGCTGTATTGACTACTGATTATTTTAACTTTTTATTATCCCTGGCTGAACAAAGGTGGAGGGGGATTCCAGCTCCTTCAAACTTTCTTTTTTGATGTGTTATAAAAATCACAAGATTGCAGGTAAGTGATGAAAGTGAAATAGAATGTTATAAACAAAGAGGACATGACAATAACATAACAATGGATACCGATATCTTTGTTACAATAACATAACAATGGATACCTTTGTTACAATAACATTAACAATGGATACCTTTGTTACAATAACATAACAATGGACACCTTTGTTACAATAACATAACAATGGATACCTTTGTTACGATAACATAACAATGGATACCTTTGTTACAATAACATTAACAATGGATACCTTTGTTACAATAACATAACAATGGATACCTTTGTTACGATAACATAACAATGGATACCTTTGTTACAAACATTAACAATGGATACCTTTGTTTGCGTATGGCAGCAGCTTGTGATTATGGACAAGGTTTACATCCATGATGTTTTTGACCGATGTCCACACCAAATTCTGCAGGTAATTCTTTTGAGTTGATGGTAAGTCCTTTGGGAGTTTATCAGTGGCAGTTTCCTCCAGCATGAACTGAAAATAATTACACATACAAACTAAACAAGATTGGTCATGCAAGCAACATCCCCCTTTTGTCAGTAAATACATTTTGTATGTACACTTAGAAGCAGATATTCTGTTTATAGAAACAGTGAACTGGGACTCTTGGCTTTTAGTTACAAAAGATGCTGTTTCCATTTCCTATCTGATAAATCTTAACTTAAAAGAAACTGAAAATGTTACTGACAATTGGAAATGATTTTGACCATCTGAATTTCCAATTGAGCCAAGAAATTACCAAAACATTGGTCAGAGCAATAAGAGGTATATTTGTGCCAATTTATACTAGACAGACATGTGGAATTGATGTGCAAGTCAGGTAAAATGTTTCTGTCAAACAGAGGCCAAGACAGCCTTCTTTCATTGAGGGCTGTGACCACTGAATTGGCCAACACTACCACCAAATCCTAATTAATCGAGACTAGAACAGGGACAGGTCAGCAAGGGCCCGCCATTTGTCTGAATGTATATTTATATCCCCCATATTTACTGAGCAGAAGTCACAGTAATCATTTTGAATTTTGAATTATTGGTAATAAAGAGGTATGCATGTTTGTAATCTGACAAATACCACTTATCATCAAGTATGAAGAATAGGTACAGCAGTGGATCTCACCCAGTGTGTATATATTGGGTAATTTGGACCAAATGCACTATGTGTTTTAGGGTTGAGGCTAATTTGACTATTTTCTTTGATCATTGACACAGTCAGTGTTGCCGTCTAATCAGTTTGTCATGACACAGGGACAATCTGGTTAAAATACAGCACCTCATTATAATATCATTCTACCATAGTGAAGAGAAGCTGTATTTTAACGAGAAGTAACTTCCATGAATAATTCTATTAATACATCGGACGAATATGAAAAACAAGAGCTGTAGGATAGCATAGCTCGTCTATTCAAATTATTTTTGTAAAAAGTGCTAATAGTAATTGGGCCATTACAGGATGTTCCATCTTAGATAATAGATCAGGAAACTAGAACTACATTGTCGATGGCACACTCCGGCTATCCCCCCAAAGTACAACCCCCTCTCCGATAACCATATACAAAAATAAATTACTGTATAATGTAGAACTCATGGTTATGTTTGATTTGATAGGCTAAAAGACTATATGAACAAAAATTGACCCCCATGACTCCACCCCTCTGGCCAGTCCCTAGGGGTCATATCAAAATTCTGAAAGTTTGGTACACTTCCCCATACATATATCTACCATATGTAAAAGTTTAAAGTTCCTACTTCAAACAGTGTAGAAAAAGTTATTTTACTCCTTATCCCTCAAGAACCCATAATATTGTTTGATTTGATATGATAAAAGACTCTTTTTATCCCCATGACCCCCCCCCCAGACAGGGAATTAATTTTTGTTTGTACAACCTTGAATTCCCTTTCCCTAAGGATGCTTCCTGCCAAATTTGGTTGAAATCTGCCCAGTAGTTCCAAAAGAACTAGAACTTGCCCAAAAACTGTAACCAATTACAAAAGACTTCTGTTTTGGACCAATAATGAGCAAATATGGTCCAATTTGTTGCTAAGGAACCTCCAAGCAATTGCTGTAACCATATTACAATGCAAAATTAATTAAAAGTTGAGTTAAACACCAAAACACAGCTTGCCCATAAATTTGAACCAAGAGGGACGGGTCACCGTGGTTACTGCTATAGCCCCCCTATTCTATGAATGCATGTAGACAAGCTAAAAAAACAGACGTTTTAAGTGTTGTAAGTAGACAGGCTGATTTCAATGCAGAATACAAACAAGAGGCCCATGGACCTTAACGGTCACCTGATATATTTATACAGAGAGTTGATTTTTGTTTTTAACATGAACAGAAATATTATTCAAAGTGACAAAAAATAATAAAACCACCTTATTCAATATCTAGCATGCAGATTTGATACTGAAAAGTATTTGAAACTAGCACCTCTGATTCTAAACAAGGAAAATGAAGAAATTTTATCTTAGCACACGGACTCCATTGGGCCCCACCCTACAGCCCTTTGAGGTAAGGATGGCTCAAAATTTTCAAAGTATCAAACTGTCAACTTAGGGTTATAATTCCAATCAAGATATTCAAAGTATCATTTGCCATTATAAACCATAACAAATTTTGCCCCTGGGGGTCAGTCAGGGCTGATATGTGCATACCATCAAACTGCTACCCAATACTGATAATGCTAACCTAAATTGAATTACTTCCAATGGCAATGAAACAAATGTTGGTCCAAAATGTGATTTCCCTATATAAACTATAGTAAAGTTTACCCCCTTCCCAGGGGGAAACGTGAGAGCCCAGGGTCATGAAATTCACAATATTGGTAAAGCACCCTAAGACCCTTCCATCTATGAAGAGTATTTGATTCTACCATATCTGGGTATTGAGAAGAAGATTTTTGAAATTTCAGTCAATTCAACCCTTTTCGGCCCCACCCATCAGCCCCCGGGGGTCAGTCAGGGCTGATATGTGCATACCATCAAACTCCTCTCCAATACTGATAATACTAACCCAAATTGAATTACTTCCAATGGCAATTAAACAAATATTAGTCCAAAATGTGATTTCCCTATATAAACTTAAGTAAAGTTTACCCCCTCCCCAGGGGGAAACATGAGACCCCAGGGTCATGAAATTCACAATTTTGGTAAAGCATCTTAAGACCCTTCCATCTATGAAGAGTATTTGATTCTACCATATCTGGGTCTTGAGAAGAAGATTTTTGAAATTTCAGTCAATTCGACCCTTTTTGGCCCCATCTATCAGCCCCGGGGGGTCAGTCAGGGCTAATATGTGCATACTATCAAACTGCTATCCAATACTGATAATGCTTACCCAAATTGAATTACTTCCAATGGCAATGAAACAAATGTTGGTCCAAGATGTGATTTCCCTATATAAACTATAGTAAAGTTTACCCCCTCCCCAGGGGGAAACGTGAGACCCCAGGGTCATGAAATTCACAATTTTAGTAAAGCACCTTAAGACCCTTACATCTATGAAGAGTATTTGATTCTACCATATCTGGGTCTTGAGAAGAAGATTTTTGAAATTTCAGTCAATTCAACCCTTTTTGGCCCCACCCATCAGCCCCTGGGGGNTATGTGCATACTATCAAACTGCTATCCAATACTGATAATGCTAACCCAAACTGAATTACTTCCAATGGCAATTAAACAAATATTGGTCCAAAATGTGATTTCCCTATATAAACTTTAGTAAAGTTTACCCCCTCCCCAGGGGTACACGTGAGACCCCAGGGTCATGAAATTCACAATTTTAGTAAAGCACCTTAAGACCCTTACATCTATGAAGAGTATTTGATTCTACCATATCTGGTTCTTGAGAATGAAGATTGAAGATGAAGATATGGTCCCCAGCCCCTGGGGGCTGGGGACCATATAATTCACAATTTTAGTTGACCTTTTAAGGGAGACACAATTTCATATCATGTTTATGATGTATACCAAGTTTCAAAGAGATCGGTCGAAAAATAGTAGGAGGAGATTGCCGGACAAAAATCAAATACTGAAATGAACAAAGGGCAATAACTTTTGGCAAAAATTGTTGGATCAAAATTCTTTTAAGGGAGACACAACTTCATGTCATGATTATGATGTATACCAAGTTTCAAAGAGATTGGTCGAAAAATGTAGAAGATTGCCGGACAGACAAAAGTTTACTCTGGCCGGCCAGCCAACCCCATACCATAATACTCCCGTGAAATTTTATGGGCGTATAAAAAGTACTACGTTTTCAATTCACAGACAATCTGTTCCTCTGTCATGATGAACCGATTAGACGGCATGACCGACTGTGTCAATGATAAAAGAAAATAGTCAAATTAGCCTCAACCCTAAAATACATAGTGCATTTGGTCTAAACTACACAAAATGTATACACAATGGGTCAGGTCAACTGCCGTATTTGAAGGAAAACAGCTTTTTTCACGTACACAAACATAGCAGCATCCCGAATTTCAAAGAAATGTTGCAAAGATTTACTGTTTAGAATTTAGATACAATCAATTCAGAATGGCTGTATATTTCAGCCAATCAGTATACGTAGTAACAGATGGTGACTATATCTTAGGCTTAATGATCTTGGAAATGTGTCAAAATCAACTAAGTATTATTGATCTCCTATTATGAACAAAATTACATGTACAATGTATATGTACAATGTATGTGTCAGCCAGTCAGAAGCAACAGTTGAGACTTGAGTAAGTAGTATACGAGTTAAGCTTAATCAAAATCCAGTAATAAAATATTGTGCAGAAACTAATCAACCTATCAGAATGCAGAAGACTCAGTAAATATGTATAGAATAAGCCAAACATCAAACCCCAGTGAACATCTTTTATAAATAGTATATCAAAGAAGTTTGGCCGTTTGATGCAATGATAGATATTCCCTATGCATCATTACCAGCAAATTTCATTGTGTGGACACCAGTGTCAACACCTAGCAGCTTGTCAAAAACAAGATGTGGCAGCAAGATCCCTCCGAATAAATAAGGCTGGTAAATTATAAGGAAAATGTACCACACAAATGATATGTACATGTATTTGTTTTGGCCCTATTTTGACTTAATACTTAGCACTAACCCGTGTCATTTGGTGACCTTTGTAGTCAGGATATTCAATGTCAATACAGGTCTGGAGCAACTGCAGACCATACTCTTCAAAACTAAATGCTTTCCTGTTCCCTGTAATCATAAAATGTTACTTTAACATTTATGCTAAAGACAATGGCATAGTTATATTTTAAGTTATTAATACAGTGTAGATAAGTGTATTACAGATATAATATCACAATAACTAGAACACTTGACTGGTCAGTAAACAGCCCATGTGGCTCATCATACCCCACATGGTTTATTTTTAGTAACAGTGACTGGAGCTTAGAATTTAAAACAAGAGGCCCAAGGGCCTTAGAGGTCACCTGAGTTATATCATAGGTACTGGTAGCTTTATTTTATTGTTTAGATGTGATGTGGAAATCAGCATGTAAACTTATAAGTGAAATACAATACTTGTCATGTCATCAAACGATAAGAATTTGAAAATATTGGTAAATGTTCCCTTTGGGGCCCCGCCCTAGCCCCTGGGGATGGGGCAGGAATCCCAATTTTACAAAGTAATACTCTCATTCACCAAAGATAATTCTGACTAAGTTTGAGTAATTTTCTGCTGAAAATGGATAAAATATATACCAAAAGTGTTATTTCCCTATATAAACTATAGTAAACTTTACCCCCTCCCCAAGAGAGAACAAATAGCTCCGGGGTCCTGAAATTTACAATTTAAGTAAAGCCCCTGATGATCTTTCTTTCCATGTAGAGAAAATGATTGTAGTACCTCTGGGTCTGGAGAAGAAGATTTTTGAAATATTGTTTAATTTTCCCTTTGGGGCCCCGCCCTGGCCCCAGGGGTTTGGGTAGGAATCTCAATTTTACAATTTGAAACCATATTCCTCCAAGGATAATTCTCACCAACTAAAAATAATTTCCAACAAAAAAGTTGTTAAAATATACCCAAAAGTGTTATTTCCCTATATAAACTATAGTAAACTTTACCCCCTCCCCGCCCTGGCCCCAGGGGGTGGGGTAGGAATCCCAATTTTACAATTTTGTAGCCTCATCTACCAAGGATGATTCTGACCAAGTTTGAAAAAGATCCATCCACTGGTTCTTGAGAAGAAGTTGAAAATGTAAAAAGTTCACGCACGACGCACGACGGATGGAAAGCGATTAGAATAGGTCACTTGAGCAAAGCTCAGGTGACCTAAAAACAATATGCTCATCTACATCACAGTGTATCGCCATGTCTTTCAAATAGATCAGATTTATGTAATAGATTCTGAGATAATCTCTGGAAACGAAAGTGTGGATGGACGGACGGACGGCCGGACGGACAGAAAGACAAAAGAACACCATGATTACTAAGGCCACCTTCATCTCTGATGTGGGCCCGTGTTATAATAGTGTACTGTTATCTTTGAGCACACCATGATAAAAATGTCATGTTTGTTGGATATAGGTTTGGAACTTTTACATTTGTACAAACTAGAGTCTCAGTTTAAGAGTGTTTAAGAGAACCATTGAGTCAAGCCTATTAAATTTATTCAAAAAATACAGTATACGTTCATTTGCTGCAATTGTTTTAAGACTACTTTCACTAAATAAATAACAACCATTCTACATCCAAGCTTTTGGGTTCAGCCCTTCACTAGGTTTTAGATAGTACTAATTAAAAAAATGCCATTTTTGCTCTGGACTGGTATAATAATAGTTTCCAAAGGATTTCACACACTCTAATTTCTCCTTTCCAGTCATGCAACTCTGACTCTAATTGTCCAAAACCAAAGTAATGGCCAATGTCCCTTTCATTAAAGCCAAGCAGGAACACAAATCAAAATCTCAATACAACATTTCTAAAAACCCTATTTATTGCCACTTAATATAGGCTTCATATTTCCTTTACGGTGATCATAAGCTATGGTGTAAAACTGACTTAACATCATTCAAGAATTTTCTTACCACATTTACGGTCGATACTGCTGATAGTTTACTTACCACATTTACGGTCGATACTACTGACAGTTTATTTACCAAATTCACAGACGATACTACTGATAGTTTATTTACCTAATTCACCGATGATACTGCTGATAGTTTACTTACCACATTCAAGGACGATACTACTGATAACTTACTTACCACATTTACGGTCGATACTGCTGATAGTTTACTTACCAAATTCACCGATGATACTACTGATAGTTTACTTACCACATTCAAGGACGATACTACTGATAACTTACTTACCACATTCACGGTCGATACTGCTGATAGTTTACTTACCACATTTACGGTCGATACAACTGATAGTTTACTTACCACATTCACGGTCGATACTGCTGATAGTTTACTTAACACATTCACGGCCGATACTGCTGATAGTTTACTTACCACACTCACTGACAATACTGCTGATAGTTTACTTACCACATTCAAGGATGATACTGCTGATAATTTACTTACCACATTCACGGTCGATACTGCCGATAGTTTACTTACCACATTCACAGTCGATACTGCTGATAGTTTACTTACCACATTCACAGTCAATACTGCTGATAGTTAACTTACCACATTTACGGTCGATACTACTGATAGTTTACTTACCAAATTCACAGACATTACTACTGACAGTTTATTTACCAAATTCACCGATGATACTGCTGATAGTTAACTTACCACATTTACGGTCGATACTACTGATAGTTTACTTACCAAATTCACAGACATTACTACTGACAGTTTATTTACCAAATTCACTGATGATACTGCTGATAGTTTACTTACCACATTCAAGGACGATACTACTGATAATTTACTTACCACATTCACGGTCGATACTGCTGATAGTTTACTTACCAAATTCACCGATGATACTACTGATAGTTTACTTACCACATTCACGGTCGATACTACTGATAGTTTACTTACCACACTCACTGACAATACTGCTGATAGTTTACTTACCACATTCACAGACGATACTGCTGATAGTTTACTTACCACATTCACGGTCGATACTGCTGAAAGTTTACTTACTACATTCACGGTCGATACTACTGATAGTTTACTTACCACATTCACAGTCGATACTGCTGATAGTTTACTTACCACATTCACAATTGATAATACTGATAGTTTATTTAACACATTTACGGTCGATACTACTGATAGTTTACTTACCACATTCACAGTCGATACTGCTGATAATTTACTTACCACATTCACGGTCGATACTACTGATAATTTACTTACCACATTCACGGTCGATACTGCTGATAATTTACTTACCCCATTCACGGTCGATACTACTGATAATTTACTCACCACATTCACGGTCGATACTGCTGATAGTTTACTTACCAGATTCACCGATGATACTGCTGATAGTTTACTTACCAGATTCACCGATGATACTGCTGATAGTTTACTTACCACATTAACGGTCGATACTGCTGATAGATTACTTACCACATTCACGGTCGATACTGCTGATAGTTTACTTACCACATTCAAGGACGATACTGCTGATATTTTACTTACCACGTGCACTTGCACTGAAGCAACGGCTGATAACAGCTGAAGGAAACTTTCCTGCGATCATCATTCCAGTGACAAGTTTCAAGGGAGAAAAAATATCATCACTCTGGTGTAGAATATGATCAGATCGTCTCTTTCCATCCGAAGATACTTTTAACACAGGAAAATATTTTTTTGACATTGGAGCCATATCTGAACTCAATTCATATAATGTTAGTAAATTGTCAAAACAATGTGTGTATGTTTCTGATTCATCTAATCCATAATTAGCTACAAATTCACATAGAATTGCCAAAGACTTGATACGAATGCTACTACCCCTTCTCGTTGAATTTTCTATTTGTTCTATTACATGATGCACAAATTTGGCATGATGAAACTTTGCTGAAGATAGGCACATGATAACAGTGATCAGACATTCAACCTTTTCTACAGAGCATCCATAGTTTCCAATTGCCTGGAGTTGTTCAACAGAGTTCAAGTAAGACATGTATCGACTCATTTGTCGTAAATACATGCTAGGCATTGTGTATTGAGGATGTGATGGTTCCAAATCACAAAAGCGAAAGAACAGAGACCAAAATGTCTGTATGACAGTAAAAGAGGTGAAAATCATTCCACACCTCTTAAATGCAGATAGTACCATCTCAGCTTCAAACAGACTGTACTCCTCCAGATGGTTCTCCAGACCTTTCTCCACCTGTCTAAACACAGGTTCTGAGGTATAGCCATACACAAACACACAAAACATCAGCTGAGAAACAGATTTGGGATCCCATACCATTGAATCTTTCTGCATGTTACTGCCAACAGATTCTAGGAAAACACTTAGAAGATCATGACAAATATACGAATGAAATTTTACACAAAAACAAATAGTATCCATCGTCTGATTATATGATAAGGTCTTGAAATTCCTCACAGCACTGTCTTCAATTTTTTTTACTGTCCATTTTTTTCTTTTTTTCAGTTCCTTGCTCCAATCATTATTTTTGAATTCAGGCCAAAGTTTACGACACCAAAAAATCATCTCTTCAGTTACCTTAGCATATGGCCTACATTTAATTGTTTTGATAACTTCTTTGCTACACATTTGCTCGATTTTCTTTTGTTTGCTTTCCCCACACCCAAGATAAAACTGCCTGTGTATGGAACATCCTGATAAGGGGTGTAGCGTTTGATTTCTATGGAGACAATTAAACATCTTTCCATCTCTCATGCTCCTCTGTATCTTATAGCTATGAAATAGTCTTCCGAGGTAGAATGGAGTTTGGCTATAGAGTCCCATTCCTTTGTTCAGAATACGATGGAAACTGGTCCGCCAAACTGCCATTATCATTGCTGTTCACTACAAGTACAACAAAAGAACACAAAACAAAGTAAGTAAATAAATTTTGGACTATATGCACGATTGTATATTTAAATGTTTCTACTTTCAGACCTTTTTTAGAAAAAAATGTACATTTAGCTGGAAGCTAGAAGGCGACCGTAATCCTGTACAATTAAAATCTGTCACACTGATATAGGGCACAGCACATTGGTTTATGCCCCTTGTGTCAGGGCCAGAGGAAACTCTGGCTATCAAAAACCCTGTGCCAACAGGCATGATAGGTACTAGCCGGAGTTTCCTCTTGCCCTAACACCAGACTTAAGACATTTTGACATACAGATGTCTGGTGTGGGACCAGAGCACACTCCTATATGAAAACGTCAAATTCTCCGACACCGTTTGGTATCAGGGAGTGACTAATCAACTGTGGGAAAACAGGTTGCTAGCGTAAGTATTTATTTTACTGTTTTCCTTGTGTATCTCTTCATTGCCATCCTAGTGTAACTAAAGATATGGTACGGCTATTCTATCGGCGTATGTAGTGGATATAACTGGTGCAGTCTATTTGTTTACATGGGTGTTTACTTTTGAGATGACCGGATGTTGGGGAGTTACCGGAAGAGGTTTTGGCCATGGGCTCACTGCGCATACAGGGCCAGGAGGCTGGGGTTTAAGAGAGGATGCACAAGCAAAATCGGGGGCTTGCGTGGCTGGTTACTGGCTGACCTGGAGTATCTTCTCCACCCTGAGCACTGTATCAGTGCTGCACGTGTACTGTAGCAGTACAGCCCCGTTAGGATGTAGGCATACCGTAGGGCAGTGTGTATTGGGTGGGGATGGACTTCGTACATATTTGGTTATATCTATAGGCCTAGTTTACCACGTGGGGGGCTCTATAGATTTACTTAACACAACATTTCTTTTATCGTACACTATCTACTTTGTTACTCTGTATATTGTTGTTATAACAGTACTTTCATCATATTGAACGGCTAATACAGTCGTTTACTATTAAATCCATATCAGTGAACGTTATACAAAGTGTTGATTGGTTTGACTCTGAGCTGACCTTCACATCTGTCGGACCTGTGTCTGACTGTACAGACTGACGCAGTGGGACGTTCTTGGGGATTGCCGCCAGTCAGTTTGTCGGTTGTTTCGGGAAAAAACCTAAATTACTATACGATCACGTTCATCAACGTGTCGTTGAGGAATACCTTTATTGTTAGTATTTAGCAAGTCTGATAACAATAGATGTTCAGTTACACATATCAGTATTGATATTTATGATTCTAAGTTTGCAGAGTACATGTACATAGCATTTCATGAAATAGATCTACAGTTGACAAATAGGTCTAATATATACAGCAAGTAATCATTGTTTAAATAGAGGTGTTTTTTCATACAATTAAAAGGGTTTAACAATTGTGGTTTAACAATTAGTCAGAGGTATATAGACACCTTTTTATAAACATGGATACTGATCGACAGGTTAGTGAGTCGGACATTTCCAGATCTGATTGGGAGGAGGAGTTGGTAGACACGTCGGTAGTTCACACATCTCAGGATAGGCTATAATCAACACCAAAATGGGCTCCAAAACCTGAGTTAAAGCCATTTATTCTTAGTCAGGATATCATCTCGTTTCCTAAACGTAAGGATGGGGCTAGCAGGGAGGTAGAATCAGTAGAATCGCCACTCAGCTCAGAAACAGAGGAAAGTGAGAATACAGAGGATGAAATAAAAAGGGTGTTAGTAAGAAGGTTAACTTATAAGACAGTCTGCTGTACATTTTACCCCTAAAACTATGAGTTAAGGTAGACGGAAAGGAGGAGAATGTTAAACTCAAGATTAAAAAGGAAGTTATTAGTCCTATTCTCAGGAAGAAAGATTACAGTACTGAGAGGGAAAAGTCAGAAAAGTACAAGGGGGATACTGAGGATAATGAACCAGAGTTGGTTAGAAATAAAAATAGGAGACAGGTTAGACATAAGGTGTCGGGGGCAGGACCTGCATCACGCACCATCCCACAAACTTCATTTAATAATGATAAACACAGGGAGTTAGATGGACAGATAACTAACACTTCTCAGAGCAGAAACGTTCTATCAGTGGTAGAATCTAACCAAAATTTGTCCGGATTTAGGGTACAGAGAAAAGAATAACATCCAGATACCTTTAACGGTACCAGCAGTGACTGGCAAGACTATCTTGTTCACTTTGAACAGGTGGCTGCCTGGAATACTTGGACCAACAAAGAAAAAAAAAAAAACTAAGTATGAGTTTAAGGAGAACAGCCCAAAAGCTGTTAAGCAATCAAATGATAGGGCAGTTATCTGATTATAACTCCATTAGACAGTGTCTCACTCAGAGATTCAATCCTAAGGAAAGGAGTGGGGCACATAGGTGTACATTTAGGGGACAAAAGCAGGGTAAGGGCGAGTCGGCTCAAGACTTTGGGTATTCTTTACATAGAACAGCATTACTAGCCTACCCAGATTTATCCTCCTATTACCTAGAGTGTCAGGTAATAGATCAGTTCATAAACGGTCTAAATAACTTTGAGGTGAAAAAGAAAGTAACCTTTCGTCACTCTAAAACATTAGAGGAGGCTGTGGCAGGTAGTAGTCCACAGAAACCTACATATAGTTCAGGATCAGTCTGTGCAATACAATCTGATAGTACAGGGGGTCAGATATTAACAATAGAGCAGATTAGTAAGTTACTGGACAAGAAGTTAGCGGATCATAAAACAGGAAGGAAAGATAGTAAAAACAGGACTTAAGACAAAAAGGGGACTTGTTTGTTCTGTAAAGAAGAGGGTCTTTATAATTTATGAGGGACTCTACCAGACTTTTAAGGGACTTGAAAGAAAAACTAAGTAGGTCTGAAAACTAAAGGCAGCTTGGGTCGCGGCCGAGATGCCAGTCTATCAGGAAACAATACATACCATATGTATCTATAGGCCTAACACAGACTTGGACAAAGGGGAGAAAACTCAAGGGGTAATAGAAAAGAAAAAGGTGTCAGGCCTGCAGGTTCGACATAGTTCATATAATGTATCTTCAGGCATAGGTTGTCTGTATACAGATGTGCAGGTAGGTGCACAGTAAGATAACCTATCAAGGCTACTGGGGTCGGATTTCTTAATGAAATATGAAAGTGAAATTCAGCTTCAAAACGAAATCTTAGTAACCTCTCGGGGAAAAGTTCAGTTAAACAGAAAGATATATAACAGTGATAAAGTAGTACTCTCTTTTATTGCACCATCAGCAAGTGTTTGCATATCTTGCCTGAACAGGTAATTAGTACTGTGGATATGGTAACTAATGTTGAGAGTTTGAAATACACAGAGTTAGGTGAGCATCAAGAGAATAAACTCCTAAACAACTTTGAAATTCAAATAGACAATAGTCAAAATTTTAAGGGAGACAATGACTTAAAGGATGTCTCATTTTTTGGAAAGGGGTTCACGCGAGGACACTAGCCATGCTACGATAAAACACCACCATGCTACGCTTATCCAACTATTTATAGTCATGCTTTTGACAGGACTGATTGTGATGACTATAATTGGTACCGTTATGTCTGATCCGTTACACTATACAATACAAGTAGATAGTGTTACTAAATGCAAATGTTTGTGTTCGAGACATTGTCAGACAGATAGAGTATCTAAAGGTAGACCCAGGGTTTGGTATCCTCCGTAACTATACAGGTGGTACAGGTATGCTATGTATACCTCATCATGACCTGTACCAGGTTGACTGGGAAGTTACATGAAGTATAAAATTAGTTGTACATAGGTAGTTGATTTTTAAAACTAACTGTGGGAGACTATACTTTGAATAATTACAAATGTAGAGTGCTTACTGCTTAGATTTTAGTTTAGATAAAATACAGGACATGGGTGGGGGTACTGAAAACAGTGAGAACGGCTGTTATCAGTCATCAGGACTGAATTCTCCCCGATAGCAACGTTGACTGTGACCAGTCAAATTTATCTACATCCTATATATACATATGCTAGATGGACAGAAAAAACAACAACAGATTATGCTAATTAGTACTTCGATATCAAGGAAGTGATCTTCTTAGGACTATTAGTACATACATGTTGTAAAGTTATGCGATAGTCTAAGGGAGATAACCTACTTCATAATTACAATGGGTTTTATGTTTGTAAAGAAATGGGATTCAACAATTTAATGAAAGTAACTTTCAATAAATCAGACAGGTAAAATAGTGTTAAGGTATGCTGCCTAACACTGGTATACCTGTACAACAGTTAAGCTGTGACCTGCTATGAACATGTTTTTTATGTTAAATAAAAAAAAATTGGTCCGGAAATCCTCTAAACAAGAATGATATATTCCGTTTTCGGCCCAGATCAGTATGGCTTGTTGATAAGTCAGTCTCATGTACTACAGAATGGCGTTCCCTCAGGTGTCCACATTGTAAACAATTACAATAGGAGAAGTCTACTGGCGGAATTTAGCAGCTGTTGGTGATACATGTAATAAGACAGCACCTCATAACTCTCCGATACCAAACTGTGTCGGAGAAGTCCACGTTTTCATATTGGATTGCGCTCTGGCCCAACACCAGACTTAAGTCTGTCACTGTACATAAAACGTACTACAGCATAAGAGCAAAACAAATACCATAATGGTCAATGTTGAAGAAGGAAGGATTAAATATGAAGAAGAAAATGTCAGGGCTCGTATTCACAAAACCATTCTCATACTCAAGCATGGATTTTGAGCTCAAGCTTAATTTCTTATAATGTTTTCAATGTTTACATTTAACTGGTGGATCGATTGACATGATTTAAGCAGGTTACAAGAAAGTTGGTTTGAGTACAAAATTCATGCTTGAGCAGGAGAATGCATATGGTTTCATGAATACGGGCCCAGGGTGTTAGGGGCATGGAAACTTGGGCTAGATACTCATAGGTAGGCTATTTTATTTTTATTCAACGAATTTTATTTTATATATATATATATATATTAACACAAGGACTTCTCAATGTTTTCTTTATATTAACATATATATAAATGGATAAGATAACAGGCTTGGCCTATATCAATCTTCTCCATGCTGGTGTTATTAGTATGACATTATATGTGACACGCTACCACAATTGGTACAATTTTGACAGTTTTTTAGTGATCTTTAAAAATTCAGATCTTGTATCTGGAATGTTTCTTGATTTTTGACGAAGACTACCTATGGTGGTTCATTTTCAGGAAAAGTTTTATATCTAAGTAATTTGTTTTTGAAAACAGAACGCTAAACTCTGAGTGAGATTTCGTCTGTTTTTCAGCCGTAAATAGTACCCAAATTGGTACACCATATCATAGGCTATGGAATTTTTTATCTATTTTTATTTTTACAAGTTGATGTGCCGATTACAACAAAATATATTGCTTTTATAGATACCATACTGAACTATAATTGTATATATTCACTTTTATATCATCCGAATAATAAGGACCAGAAATCAACTGTCAAAGGAAAATGCTCAAATATAATTTTAAAGTACTATTCGAATAATTTTCTGACCGTGTACCAATTGTGGTAGCGTGACGTTATATATATGTAATTATAAGCTATTTATATTATTGTATTACACTCATACACTCAATCATACATTCATTCAGGTAGGCTATAAGGACCTGAAAATGTGTTACCGCTATTTATTGGACCTTGACCACAGGGACATATGCTATACTGATGGGTATGTTTATGTGTGTTGTGATCCATATCAGTAAAGCAAAAAAGTGTAATTCAGACATTTGTAACGAACCCCTGTGATCAATATAGTAGCAGAGGAAACTCTAGTAGGTCTTTTAGGACACATTATTGAGCATTTTAGCAATTTGCGATGATTTTTAAACTGTGGTCTTCGTTCCTATTGTAGGGAAGACTTCCCTGTGGCGAAGGGATAGGATTGATGATGTCTACCTACCGATCTATTGTAGGGGAAACATGCGGCCGGCTTCCTGATACCTATAGCCAAGTAGTCTCGCTCAACCAGACTCTTGTTATGTGGGCAAGCTAACAAGATATACGCCGAATAGAGAATAAGGGTACATTCGCGTTACCGGTTGAACCTGTAAAGAAAACGACAGGTACAGATCTGGACAGAGGCTGATCTCAGGAAAATTTGGCACGTGTAGATTGAGGGGTCCAGACATGCCTGACCGAAACTAAAATGCTGACTATTGCCAATTTGCGTTATTTCTTTCTAAAACAATGTCAAGTCACATTGTCACATGTAGTTTTTAAGATGCGTTATGTAATTCAGTGGACGGATGAAAGAAGGTCATAATATTCTTGAAAAACTGTTTTTTATTCTCCAAAACTGTGGATTTTTGGCTCTGCTTATAGAACGGTCCAAGTGTGTTCGTTTATCGTGGAAAATTTCTGCGCCACACGTACCGTTTCAACCGGGATACGCGAATGTAGCCTAATTACAAGTGACCAAGCGTCTGGTTGAACGAGACTATGCATGAAAAGCGCAGCCGCATTTTCGGAGGTTTTCGTCTGAGAACGAAATGCATAGTAGTCCCAATCAATTAGTCCTGAAACTGACCTCATCGTATACAAATACCATGTTCAAGCTTATGATTACATGAATCAGTAAGCTAGGAAGCATAAGGGGAAAATACTTATGGCAACACGAGGAATTACAATGAAGTTGAAGTTATTTATATTTGTTAAGTTTTGGCCGTAGACCCTGTGGCCTAATGGATAAGGCGTCGGCCTCCGGAGCCGAAGATTGAGGGTTCGAGTCCCTTCAGGGTCGAACACACACATTTTATTTTTTTATGTTAACATCCTTCCTTATTTACTCCTCACAAAGACAGAATTAACATTCACAAACTTATAAAGATTGGACATGTTATTGTCTTTATGAATTATGTGCATTCATGAAAAAAAACACTATCTGTATATCCCATTTCTGGTATTTCCTTGATGGTAATTAGACTATTGACCTTAACCGATGTAGCATGGAATTATGAAATATCATTTGCAATGAACTGTGTCAAAATACCATAATTGTAATATGAATCTCAGACAGTTCACCGTCATGGTAATGTGAACTGCTCCATATGGTGATTAAAATGAACCACTTCCATTAATTTATTTTCTGACCAAACTTTTGCATACATTTTCCTTTAGTTTACTTTAATTTGATGTAATTCTATCTGAAAATATTAAGTCTAGCGTAGAGAAATATAAGGTGGCGAGCAGACATACTAGGGAGCGACTTCAAGACTTCCATCAATTCACCATAATGGTGAAATGAAGTGTTTCAGCATATCTTTTTCTATTTGACTTTTTAAACCAAATCTGGTATGTCGATAGATTGGTTGATTTGATAAATTGAAAAAAAAACATCTGGTATAAAGAATGACATCTGATCAGTGTTAATTATTTATTATCTGTCGTCAAAATGGCAGTGAAAATAAAGCAACCATGGGAAATTATTCTCATTACATGAAATACCTCAAATGGTTCAGAAAAATAAGGATTTTAAAGACTTTATAAAACCTCAAATTTCCCTATTGTGTCCCACAATTCTGCACCCAGAGAGGCCACACACTCTGTTTATACAAAAGTTAGTCCCCTTGGCCCAAGGATGCTCTAGGCCAAATTTGGATAAAATCCCTCAAATGGTACAGAGGAAGAAGACTTAAACCCAAATTCGTCTATTGGGCCCCACAACTCTGCACCCAGAGGGGCTACACCCTCAATTTGTACAATATTAAGCCGACCTTGTCCAAGAATGCTCCAGGCCAAATTAAGATAAAATCCCTACAATGGTAGAGAAGGAGAAGGATTTTAAAGATTTAAACCTAAAATTCCCCTTTTGAGCCCCGCCCCTCTGCACCCGAAGGGGCCACACCCATCGTTGCTCCACGGATGCTCCAGACCAAATTAGGATAAAATCCCTTGATCCCTTTGATAAAAGAAATATTTAAAGGTTTTGCCTCTATTTACCCTATTGGACCCTTCCCCTCTACCTCCAGGGGGTCCAAAATCACCCTTTATACAAAATTGAGTCCCCTTGGCCCAAGGATGCTCCTGACCAAATTGGGATGAAATCCAGAAGAAGGATTTTAAAGGTTTTGCCTATATTTTCCCTATTTGGACCCTGCCCTTCTGCCCCAAGGGGGGTCCAAACTCACCGTTTATACAAAATTTAGTCCCCTTGGCCCAAGGATGCTCCAGACTAAATTAGGATAAAATCCTTTTATCTCTACAGTAAAAGAAGGCATTTCAAGTTTTTTTCTCTGTTTCCCCTATTGGGCCTCGCCTTTCTGCCCCCAAGGGAAGGGGGGCTACACTCCCCTTACAGAAATATTCAGTCTCTGGTACACTAATGTGGCGATATAGTCGCATGTTCAGATTTCATATGCAAATTAGATTTCTGGCGATATCGCCAGAATATCGCCGTAGGTTTCTGTTGATGTTGTGGCATACTCATTCCAAAGCTCTAAAAGCTCTACTAGGGTTCTGGGGCGTTTGGGGCATTATCGCCAGAATGTCACCAGAGTGTTCTGCTGCAGTTGTGTCGATATCACCAGAATGTCGCTAGAATGTTCTGGCGCACTTGCGGCGATTATGGCCAGAATGTTCTGGTGCACTTGTGGCGATATCGCCACAGGCTAGGGTTCTTGTGATATTGTGACTAACCTACTCTGCAAGCAAGATTGGGATTCCCACTATCAAATATATGACAATATTGCAACAGGGTTGTGGAGTACATATAGTTTAGATAATAATCCATAGCTTATATTGATAAGAGATTGGTTGCAAAGTTCAACACATGTATATGGATTATTTCACAAGGTGATATTTGTTAATAGTAGTTATCAATAATGTTAATATAATGTATAAGTATATTATAGTTTTATAAGAAACAGTTCTGTATATTATAGAAGCAACCTTAACTTCTGTAAAAATATTACAGCAAGACCTAAAATAAGATTTTTATATTATGTTCTACACTGCTAAATACATGTATATATAGTAGAATTTTGTATCACACAATTTCAACTTTATACTGTTGTATGAAAATGCACAATAGTAATTTACATGTGTTGTGACCATGGATTATAAAAAAACCAAAGAAAACATATTCTACATTACCTTATAAGACTCAAGAACGCTATCACTTTATCCAAAAAAGACTAAAGCCTCCTTATTTCATTCAACTTTCCCTTTCACCATGATCAGCTCTCCTTCATTCATCATGCAGCCATTTTGTGATTTTTTAATTTGGGGGTCAACTATATTAAGACAAGTTACAGACGTTCATGGGAATTCCTTATCTGTGGTGCACTACTGGCGATAATCTGGTGATATGAAAAGTGTGCCAGAACATCACCAGAATATGTTATCTGTGATGCACTTCTAGCGATATTCTGATGACATTCTGGCGATATGAAATGTGTGCCAGAACATCACCAGAATGTCACTGCTAGCGGCTATATTCTGTGCACCTCTGGCGACATATTCTGGCGAACTGCAATATTGCTGTGATATCGCTGCAAACTTTTTATTCCTTTAAGGGTCATCACCATTTATACAAAATTCAGTCCCCTTGCAAGAAGGATTCTCTAGAATTAATTGGGATAAAATCTCTTCATCCGTATGGTAGAAGAAAGATTTCAAAGTTTTTACCTCTATTTCCACTATTGGGCCTAGCCCCTCTGCCCCTTGGGGGTCCAAACCACCCATTTATACAAAATTGATAGTCCTTTGCCCAAAGATAGTCCAAACTAAATTTAGATAAAATCACTTATGGTAGAAGAAGGATTTTAAAGGTTTACCTCTATTTTCCTATTTGGGCCCCACCCCTCTAGCTGTCCAAAGGGGGGGGGGGGGGTGTCATACCCACTGTTTATATAAAAAACAAGCCCCCTTGGCCCAAAGATGCTCTTGACTAAATTTGGATAAAATCCCTTTATACCTAAAGTAGAACAAGGATTTTAAAGGATTTACTTCTATTTCCCCTATTGGGCCCTGCCCATCTGCCACCAGGAGGGCCACATCCACTGTTTATACAAAATTGAATGCCCTTGGCCTATGGGTGTTCCAGACCAAATTTAGTTAAAATCTACTGGGCTGTTCAGGACAAGTAGTGTTTTAAAAGAAAAGTTGACGGACAAAAAACAGAAAACAGACAGACGCCGCACCATGGCATAAGATCATCGGTCCATTGGATCAGGTGAGCTAAATATCCTTTTAAAATATTTTCATATTAAAAAGACAAACTAGGACATCTGCCTGCAGGGTCAGAAATGATATTAACACACAGCTGGTTGTGGAATAATCGTTTAATTTAAACAGGAGGCCCGGAGGGCCTATATCTCTAAGCAATCATGGCAAAATATTCTCCAAATGAGATCCAAGGGAATAAGCCAGACCCCAAAGCCAATCCTTGTAGCAAATCTGTATTAGATTTTCATGCCCAGCAATTTTATGTATGGTTAAGGGGTGGGGATCTCAACTGTTTCCAAGCTGCGACTTAGAAACTAGGTTCCTAGGGTTGTGGCCAGACCCCAGGATCAATTCTAATATCATGACTGTATTCGTCTCTTTATGCTAACCATTTGTATATAAGGTTTTGGGGTGGGAATCTCAACCGTTTCAAAGTTATGACCCTGGGGTTAAGTCTGCAAGGGTGGGGCAGACCTAGGGGTAAATCCTAATATCATGACTGCATTCCTCTCTTTATGCCCAACAATTGTATATATTGTTTTGGGATGGGGATCTTAATCCTTTCGAAGTTATGACCCAGGGACTATGTATCCAAGGGTTACGGGCCAGACCCCAGGACCATCCTGGAAGCATATGTGCATTCTTCTCTTCATACTCAGCAATTTTATATATGATAATACTGTGGGGATCTCAATCGTCCCACCCCTTAGCCCAGGGGGTCAGTCCCACCATTTGTACAATTTTGAATCCCTGCCTCCCATGAATGCTTCTGAAAAAACATGATTGATATCCAGGGGGGGTCAGTCAAAACATTTGTACAAGTTTGAATCGCCACTACCTGGGATACTTCCAGTCAAATATGGTTGGAATCCATCTCTTAGTTCCAGAGAAGAAGTCACTTCATGCAATATCGCCAAATAACCCTTTTTAGCCCCACCTCTCAGCCAGCCCCACCATGTGTACAATTTTGAATCCCTTCCTCCCATGAATGCTTCGATTCTGACCAAATATGATTGATATCCATTATATAGTTCTACAGAAGAAGTCGCAATAAAGCCAAGTTGACCCCTTTTGGCCCTGCCCCACCATTTGTACAATTTTGAATCCCCACCATCTAAAGATGCTTCCAGTCAAATTAAGTTAAATTCCAATCAGTGGTTAAAAAGAAGTCGTTTGGAGAAATTGTTGACCGACGGACGTATGACGGACGCAACGGTATGGCATAAGCTCACCTTGGTCCTTCGGACCCGGTGAGCTAATAATTAGATAATCCAGTACAGCTTGCTTATCAATCATACTGGCGTATGGACACTTAATACCTGAAGTAGACACGAAAAAGACTTTAATGACATCTTGCTTGGTAGAATAGATATAAACAACATATGTTTGTACCGATATGTTATGTTTGATCAACTCAGGTCGCAAGGCATTCAATAATTATTTTTTGTAACATTTTTCTCCCTCGTTACACATTCCAACATATTACCCTCACATACTTTTATTATTTCCTAAATAGCACAACACTACTATCTCATAATTATGACTATCTTGAAATAACAACTTACTTACAAGTAACTATGTCATTATTACAAATAAGGAAGTTATTGTTACAACGAAAGATTTTTTTTCCCAGTATGTGGTTGTTTTTGGAGGAAAACAATTTTTGATTTTGGGCGAGAACTAAAATGAGAATGTTTGTATCCAGCATAGACAGTAGCCGACACATTAATTGTTTGACGTATCTCGTGTATTGCCAATGTATAAAGTTTCATCAAAATCCAAAGAGTGATGACGTTGCTAGAGCAATGACAAGATCTTAAAATAGCTATGGCAACCTTGACCTGGACAAGTACTACGGACCACTGAAGCATGACCTCATTTGAGGTATTCTCTTGCATGACCAATATATGAAGTTAACAAGAGGCCTGCATCACTCACCTGGTAATAATATCACACTTGTAACCTTAAACGTATACAAAAAGAAAGCTACAGGCAAACTATCAGTGTCTTGACTCAGTCATTCAAAAGAACTTGTTAAAACATTTAAACACATTTGACCAATGTGACCTTGAAAGTCAAATGAGGATATCAAGGTGAACATTCTTTATAGCTGTTCATCCCAGAATGCAACTTGCCAAATGTCATCGCCCTATAGCCTTTGTTAATAGAGACTAGAAAATGTCTGTAAGACATAAATACCCCCGCTGCCATGTGAAAGTAGTTTCAGTGTTCTATAAAAAGTTACAACCACTTTGATCTTTATACCCTGAAACATACCCCCATTTTGTGGCAGGGTCATAAAAATTACTTAAAAGATTATACTCAACTGACCAGTTCAATTCTGGTCAATATTCACAAGAAATTGTTTAAAAGATTCCAACATATTTGACCTCTGACCTTGAATGTGGGTGATGGCCATTATTTGAACAAACTTGAGAGCCCTTCATCCTAGCATGCTGCTGGCTAAATATCATCACCCTGGACCTTTTGGTTGTTTAGGAGATGTCGTTTAAAGATTGTTCATCAACTTCTCCATAACTAAGAGGCCTAGGGTGATGGTTTTTGGCCAGTATAATTTGTTTGTTTTGTTGTATATGCTGTACATATTTATTGCTAGGGCAACAGTACACAGTTCCCGTCACAATGTTTGGCTCACTAACGTTTTTCTTTATATCACAAAGCACTTTAGAATGTAAATATAAGGAATGAAATTGATTTTTCAACATGTGACTCATGGCAAGTTTGTCCAGACAGCCAATGTTGTTATGATCTCATGAGTAATGAATGTTAAAAAATAAATTTCATTCCATAAATAAATGAACACACTTGAATAACCATTTGGAAGCTTACATTTTTTATTAAATAATGCAAATATTAAATGATAATTCAATACCTTAAGTAACTCTAGCTATTATTGATATTGCTGATCTATCTTCCATTCCTACATACATCTTGGTATAAATGTATCTACTTCAATATATCAACTGTACATACATTCCATTATATATGCAATGGGTTTAATGTCCTCCAAACAAACCAGAATACATCATGAGTTTTTTGAAATCTCAGCATTTTAACATGACACAGTTTAACAGCGATTTACGAAAAAGATTATATCATTCTACAGTTCTAGCCTGTTCTTGCCTCCTCATTCACATTAGCCAAAACTTAAACAATAGTAAAATATCATGTAAAAATATACTTACACCTTGCAAATATTTGAAAAGAAATCAGACAGGCTGTATGTGGGTTCGACTCCAATAGGCTGACGCCTGGGGCGAGTATTTTTTTTTATGTTGGAGTTTTCAATATTTACTATGAAATTATAGTTTGGGCTAGTAGAGTTTTTATCTTTTTTTGTTTGCAGGCTAGAATACTCTAGAAATGAAATTGTACATCCTTACATTAAAGTTTAGGGGTCACTGAGAAGTAAACTTAACACATGTTGGTAAAGCTTTATGGAATGAATATATAGTGTCCTTGGTACTATAATCATAACAAAGTGGTCCACAAAGGTCAATAAAAGAAAGGTGATACAGAGTTCATTCCAACTTGTTTATTGCAGATCTTGATCTTTTGTGGGTTGTTTTTTTGTAATTATCATACCATATGGCAAAACAGTAAATGAATTGTATTCCAATGGAATTAAAAATAGAACATCAGCTACTTGCTGTAGCTTTAACAGCCCTCTTTGGAATGAACTCTATAGGAAAAACATGTAGTTCAACTGCAAACAAGACAGTTAACATTAAATAAAGAACTACTTAACAGCTAATTTGATAAACATATATATCTGTAATAACTCTATAAAAACTGGCATCCAGTGCACAATGGTGAAAAGGCAAGTTCTCATTTAAAACTAGCTTTTAGTCCTGGTTTGTTACTTTGACTTACAAATTATAATTGAAGAAGAAACCATACACGTCTGTTTTTTAAATACTGCACTTTCAGCTATAACCCTCAAGCGGAAAACACAAATATTACTGATGTACATGTATATTGAAAACTAAAAAGTGTAAAAATGAATCAAAATTTTTCTGAAATTATTTCTTCTTGTTATGGGAGATTCCATTTCATTCGTCAAACTTTGTTTTATATTGCATCCTAAAATGACAATGTATACAATCTGATTGCATACGGTTTTCAGTTCCATCCAGAAACAGATTTTGAACAGATTACAATGTTATTGTCATTTGAAGGGGTGCTGTAGCTTGTCATTTTCTGTTCTGTACTGTTCTACATATAAATATCCAGTACAAACATTCAGCGGACGCTCGCATGGCCCATTATATAGCACTGTACACAAGGCATTAACATAGTTGGTTTATAGTCTGTAAATGCAACATCCAGATCATCTCAGTACCAAATTGTCAGGACAATCCAGGCCATCTCAGGAATGACTTGTCTGGGTAAACACTCTCATCTTAACAGTTCATTACCATCTTGATGAATTCTACAAAAGATTGCAATCACCTTTAACCAATACATCATTACTGGTGAAAAACATGATTTTCACATACATAAAAATATACCAAAGAGAATGGACTACAAAGGATACACTATACAAAATCCCTAACACAGGAACACTTAATTATAGCACTAGTAAATATAAAATATTTCACTGAATCATGAATTTACAGAGTTACAATTGTTCTGCTATTGCCAAGTGATGGGCTGATGATCGATTATAATCGAAAATTGATCGTTTTTCCCTTTCCAATTCCGATTATCGATTTGAAATTCCATTATCAATATAACCAGTTCTTCATTAAAATGAAAGTGTTGAATGTTTTCAATGTTAGAAAATATATTGAAAGTCATATATTTTATTTTTTGTTTTAACTATATGATGATAAAACTGCATAAAAATTGCTGGAAATCCATTCATTATAAAAGAATGAAAACTGGTGAACAGTTAACGACTGCCTACTGATGTTGTGGTAATGTTGTCACAATAGGTTTACGACTTCCGATTACAAACCGATTATCGATTATGATTTCAAACCGACTGCTTATCATTAGCTATTGATCACCTTTGTCCTATAAATGTAATAGAAACTCAGTCTAGGTTTCACACCATCATCTTCGTTCTTTAGAGACTTCAGGAAGCAAAATTAATTAATGTACAATAATGACAAGACATTTTTGAGAGAAAATTTAATATGCATAAAACGAACAGTTTTAGGTGTTTATTACAAGTTAAAAGTTACAGTTGCTGTATGTTTACCTCGAAGTTGTTGTTTTCCTAAGTTTCTTCAACTGTTACCTTTATTTTGATATGTGATATTGCCCTGAGCTTACCTTCGTAGTTGACATTGCCCTGAGCATCCTCCTGTCCTTGAAACAGTTGGTCACAGTCATCATCTGTCATTCTATCTCCTGTACACCAAAACAAACACAACTATCATAGATTTTCAAAAAGTTAAACAGTTTCACTGTTATTTAAACATCACAACGACAGACAGAAATTCACAGAATTGAAGCATAAACCAGGGGTGTTGGATAGCAATACGCCGCATTCACAGGTTTTCAATTTTGATAAAACTGCAGGCGTTTGCAAAGGTTTTTCTGTGTTCAGAAATTCTGAGGATGGCATTTCCTATCCAACTGCAAAACAATCTCAGATGCCAGGTAAAGACAATTTGCCAGACTTACATATGGAAAATATTAGCTTTTTGGATAAACCCATTTAGCGAGATTGATCATAACCTAATTCCACAAACACACAAGAATGGACAGGAAAAGCAATCCCATTTTCTTGACATATACAGTTACTAACCCATTGCAGGCATCCAATGCATTATACTGTATTGGAATATTTTCAATTTTGTAATGTATTATCATTGTTGTCCCTCATTGATGTCATGCACAAGAATTGGGTACAAAATCAAAAATTACTACACCTCTGTTTTGCTCTGGACAGTCATATTACTTTATACACGGTTACGAGAGTAATCTATATGCTCATTAGGCCAGCAGAGCACTGTTTCACACTTTAGTCAATGTTATTCAATATTAACAATTTTGGATTTTTTCACTGAAAACTATTATTAGTCTGGTATGTTCAAACATTACATATGCATTTATTCTAATTTCTGGAACAATGATAAATATTTTGTTCTCATTGATGACTGGTAATCGTGTCTTAATCCTATAATATGTTCCTTTAATTTGAAAGGTTACTGATTAGAAAATTCTTAACTGTTTAACCATGTAAGAATTGGGGCAACGGTGGCCAAGTGGTTAAGGTGTGTGACTGTCTATGATCACTAGCCCTCCATCACTGGATCACAGGTTCAAGACCTATGGGGCAGTCACCAGGTACTGGCCACAGGTTAGTGTTTTTTTAGGGTACTCTGGTTTTCCTCCACCACCAAAACCTGATCTCTCTTTAAATGACGATATATAGCTGTTACCTTGGAAATAGGAAGTAAATCACAAAAAAAACAAATCATGTAAAAATTTAAGGTAACAAATATCTTCAATTAACTGTATACTGATGTCAGTGCATTCTAGTACATGTACTTATTAATCTAGCCATTTAAGTTATCCGGCTGAATTTCAACTTTTCTAGCTGTACTTACCAAGGGATGTAAGTATATGACGCAACTCTGCAGAAGAGATAAAACCATTCTGGTCCTTATCGAACATTTTCAGACCCTCAATGTAATCTTCCAGTGTAGCCTGGTCTCTGTTCTTACTGATAGTCTGTAGGATTGGTATGAACACCTCAAATGAAACCCTTGCATCTGCAAAGCAAACATCATTTGTGTATCTAGCATGTAATCATGACACTCTCATAAAACTTAACTTCGACAATATATTTTGAAGGGTATATTGTATATGGCCATTAATCTCACCACCAGATTGCTTTCTGCTTTTGCTATTCTTTGATCTAAAGACAAACATATATACAGATGGTTTTGATATACTTTCTAACCATTAACCAACAAAAGTAATGTTGCAAGATTAAGATCTAATTCCCGATGCCAAATGGGCCTTTATAACTCAACCATCATTCACTTACATTTGTACATGTTACTTTCAACGACGGTCGAGGTCATATTTAACAAAATAGACTTTAGACCAATGATTAACACATTATAGGTCTTACTTGGAAGATTATTTTATGCTTCCCATTATGACTGCTAAAATATCCCATAGGGACTGTATTACCTGTTGTTTTTATTTGTTTTCTGAACTAGAAAGAAAATAAAAGTTGAACACTTTCATGACAATTTAAAGCTGAACTGGACTAGGTCGATTATTGGCAACCTGGTATCTAATTAATTGGTAGAGAGTTTGGAGGGTCCCGGGTTCGAACCTCGGTCTGGCCGTGCATTTTTCCTCTGTGGTTCCTCTGACCAACCCTTGTTTCAAGCATTTAATAAGGCGTGTGCTTGGCAAGGGGATACTCGAGCCTGGATTGTAAATAGTCGGCGACCAGGTGGCTCAATTGAAAATTAAAAGTGAAATTTGATGGATGCACAAAGGAAAAATTTCGTGAGGGGGAACATCTAGGCATATTCCTTGGAAAAATTTAATATTACACTGCTGAAAATATACACAAAATCTGCTGGTTAATCTATCAATTTTGCCAAGAAATCTGAATCACAAAAAAAAATGTGTTTGCTACATGTATTAGTACAATATTTTGAGTGTTATTATTACAGTACCTGGATTACTACTGTAACCACATTTCTTCACTTCGTGTTCTGTGGGATTCTGGCCCAGTGCCCTCAATACATCCCCAAGTTGAGAAGCTGCTATCTTTCCATCTCCCTTTTGATCAAAGATGTTGAATGTTTCTTGGATTTCTGAGCAAAAAGAAGACATTCAAAATCATTATTTATCTATCTGCTTCTGCCAAATACTGCAACGCCCTCTTTCCAGTACTCTGCATTGTTATATAATTATGACTTACCATGGCAAATGCACATGTCAGGATATTTTGTAGGCATATAGGTCTTATGGGCAGTTTTTGAAGTGATGCTACACACGCATTTAGGCCTAAATCTGTAAATGTTTGTATGCATTAACAATAAATTTGTTTCACTACCGTTATGTCTCCAAACGTTTTCTTATGACAACACCGCATGGGCTTCATTTTTGGTCAAAATTATTTTCGAAGAACTCCAGGAGGAAGAGATTATCATCAATAGGATCATATTATGACATAACCAAAGGACACACCCGTCGTGGGATGGCCCAACGGCTTTGCTGAACTTACCGGACAGCTGATCTTCAGACATTTGAGACTGAAAAGAAATAAAACAGACAAATGACATAAATGTGCTAGATGAAATAAAAAAGAATCCTACGATAAATATCGACAAAATTTGAGATTGTTTCGCATACCATCTTGAACCTAGAAACTTTACTTCCTGCAAAATGAACTTCCGTTATGCAGTGTATTGTGGGTGTTAACACAAATATGAACTAGTCGATAATAAGAGGACATGATAAAATTAGGATAAATATCTTAACTCACTATAAAACTCTAAATATTTAAAAACAAACTAAGAATAACTTGTTTCTTGATCAACAACATTGCTTTTTATAATATTTAATTCACTTAAGTGTTAAATATATATTGCTTATCGATTAACTTTGTCTATCCTCTTAAGATAGTATTGCCCATATATGGAAATGGAATTTAAGGTATATTGACTCACTTCAAACAAGTTTTTATTTTTTTTATTCCGGAGTATAAACCTATTTCACAGGCGGAAATCACGAACATCAAGGATTTTTTTGCCGCTTCGGCACTAATATTTCTGTAAAGACTGCATTTAAATTATATTTTTAGACTGACTATCATTCCCTAAGGTTTTAGGAAGAATTTCCTAGTTGCATATCTATTGCCAGTATTGGGATCAGACATCCTCTAAAGTGATCAAATTTATTAGAGTTTATTAATTTTCTAAATTATTCGATATTCTTGTCACGAAATCTTAGTTTACTTACTTAGCTCCACACTTTAAGTGTACGGAAGAAATAAAGCATATAGTTGCGACACCTGATCAAATATACTTGATTCTATAGATTGCTATAATACAGCTGTAATGATTTTAATGCAGAGGAAGCGATCACATACTTATCGCATTTCACAACTCTTGCCAGGTTTACAACTTGATCGAGAGCGTTTCTTGGTTGGTTGGTTCACGGAATTAGAATAGAATGTTATCTAAGTCCGTGGTTGGTTGATGGGTTTATAGACTCCTTTTCACGGGCGGAGCCCGGGTTCTGGCGTCTTGAGGGGGTAAGTCTCCAGCTTACCGGGCCCTAGGTGATTCAAAATGACCTTGCCCGTCCAGATCACGCCCTAAGGTCGGTCAGCTCCTTAGATGCGGATAGGCTGTCACAGTTCCATACAGCACGTATACGGGAGCGTGGAACACGTCCTTTAAACAGCTTCACTGTCCTCCTATGGAGACTCAGAGCGTTTCGTCTTGTTAGTCTTGTTAGTTATCTTATACCCGCTAACACACCGCACACTGGTCGATCAGATATCTTACGGTGGGATGCGGACCTTTCGTTCATCACGTCATAGTTTTTATCATTTTACCTAACACATCATTTCACTAACAATACAACATAAACTATTTATGTGGCAGGGATAGCCTGTCCGAGTATTATGGATAGTGTAGTAATTAAATTATAATGTTTTAAGAAAGGCGGATCAGGGACGTATATATACTGTCCCTGGGCGGATGAATGAAGTAATATTAGTGGAGTTTAATATGTAATTATGTCTTGTTTGTTCAGGTGTACATGTATTGTGTGTTTAGTATCTAGTCTTGTTCAGTGTCATTGTCCATGTGTCAGTTGTTCAGTGCCATGTGCTTTTGTTTATGTTTTGTTCTGTAACCTGTTTGTGACCTGTAACCCCATACTTACCTGTTGGTCATGTGACCTTTCCTACCTGCCCATGCAATTCACCTGAGTGTAAATTAGTTCTGGCAGACAGGTTGGAGGGATTGACAATATGTAAAAGGTAGGAGTTAATATGTTCAAAATTAATGTAATTTTGAAGATACTCTTTTCATGTAATAGCTAACTGTAAAACAGATTGTATTTACTCTCCAAATTAGGATGATATATTTTGAGTAACTAGTATAGTTTACTTTATTGATGTACTGAGTAATGTTCAGGCTATATGCTCTGTGAATATTTGGAAATTTGAAATAACTTCTTTCTATTTCTATTTTAATGATAATGTAAATATATCAGACTAAATCAATTACATACTACGATGTAACAGCTATTGATTGTTCTTGCAAGTAGTGTAAAGAGTCATTGGTTATTTGGTCAGATTCGCCTGCAGTTATATATACTGGATTATCAGGATTATGTGGGAACCCTTGTCGCATTGATAGAGTAAGTTCATTACAGTTATATATAATATAAACAATGTATATTACAAATGATATATGTCATTGGTCTAAGTAATGTGTAATATATTAGCCAGTTAAATAGGTTATAAAGTCTATTTTGTCCATGAGCATTGTTATATAAAGTCAATGAAATCAGTAAATATATTGTGAAATAAATCATAAGTATGAAATATGATTAATAATAAATAATAAATGTAATTATACAGATAATGATATGAAACCTTGTGATAGGTACAGTGTAATGTTTTAGTAACAAGGTGGTGTCTACTGCATGTTGTCTTATACGTTTGTTATTGTGTTCTTGTAGGGTGTAAGATTCTTCCAGCTAGTCTGATGTCCACAAATGGAATAATTAAAAGAATGGAAACCAAGAACGTGTTTGTTGTAACGCCTCTGCCCAAATCCCATCCCTGTTTCATTTATTTAACAAAATTTATGAAACGGGTTATTTCAACTAAAATTAGTATAACATATACATCTCCAGCACACACGCAGGCATACACACATGGAGATATTAGCCAGGTGGCATAGGACTAGTAGTCTTGCGCCTGATAAGGCATGCAGCTTCTGCGAATTCCTCATAAATTGAATTTATTAATGTATATGCTAATTGTATAAAGTGCTTTAGAGCGGTCTTTGTTAGCTAGATAGGGTGCTATATCAAATGTTGTATATTTATTTATTTCTCCGGATGATAGGGCGCGGAGAAGAGGAGGGGGGAGGGGATGTGTTAGAGAATATCAGAAAACTCAGAAAAAAATTAACCCACATTGTCGGACAGATGACCTCAAACCTTTCACGTCCTTTAAAAATTGTGTTTGACTTTAACCGAAATAGATGCTAAGCGCCTGCAAGCCTTCTAGCATCATATCATTGCACCGTTTAATTTGTCTTTCATTGCTTTCTTATGTGTGTATATAGTTTGCTTTATAAGAAATACTAAAATATTTTCCTCGTGTAAAGCCTTCTCAATATCACACAAAAATAATATTCCTGTACCTCTGTAAAAAAGGTTTTCCTATAAGGTATTTATTAGTATGAGCAATTGACACGTTTTCTATTTAAAAATGGCGATATGTATAGTGGGAAAATATTGTGAAATAGTCCATTTGAACGTTCGTTCGTTATTCTCTACGAGAATGTTACAGATAAATCAAATATAGTTCAATACACTCACCCAGTTTTTTCTAACTCAGCTATGTTCTTGTACATGTATGATCTGGTCCATTTTCCCATCAAAGTTATAAATATATTTTTTTCTCCAACCTTTTAATATGTTCAATATTTATATGTAGAACACTTGCCACAATTTGTCTGTACATACACTGTATCCTTTAGGTATTATCAAATACGGTTGTACATACACTGTATCTTTTAGGTATTATCAAATACTGTTGTACAAACACTGTATCTTTTAGGTATTATCAAATACGGTTGTACATACATTGTATCTTTTAGGTATTATCATATACGGTTGTACATACACTGAATCTTTTAGGTAATATCAAATACGAATGTACAAACACTGTATCTTTTATGTATTATCAAATACGGTTATTCATACACTGTATCTTTTAGGAATTATCAAATACTGTTGTACATACACTGTATCTTTCAGGTATTATCAAATACGGTTGGACATACACGGTGTCGTTTAGGTATTATCAAATACGGTTCTACAACAACTGTCTCTTTTAGGTATTATCAAAGACGGTTGTACAAACACTGTCTCTTTTAGGTATTATCAAATACGGTTGTACAAACACTGTACTCTTTAGGTATTATCAAATACGGTTGTACATACACTGTATCTTTTAGGTATCTTGGAACATACCTTTCAACTTGTCCCAAAGTAACTTCCCATTGTTTTTATTTGTGATACCCAGATTATACCCAGAAACGTTTTATCTCTTTTTTCACCAGATACAAAACTGCAGTCTTTGATATAATCAATTTTAGTCCAAACACTTTTCCAAATTTTGTGCAACGATGAATAAAGATCTTCTAATGTCCATAAACTCAAGAAATAATCAATCAATGGAGAAATTTTAATATTCTTGTTTCGAACATCGGTAATATCACGACCTCTTTTCAATAACTAACATTCAGTAAGAGTTACGAAGATCAGGCATGATAACAGGCACCAGTGTCGTATTTCACATGACACTTTGTAACTTCCTGTTAACCAATTGCTTTTTTGTCGCATCCCTTCATTTTGGGATATAACACCTTAACCCATCTGGCAAAAGAATCCCAAGATCATATTTTTCTGAACTATATACTTTGATTGACAAGGGGTACATATCTATGGTTTAAACCGAACTTATTGGTACAATTGCTTCAAGAAGGTTAACACCGGCTACGTTTCTCCATATTATTAGAAGAAATAAAAAGAGTTATAAGCATTTCAAAAATATGTACTGACGATCGATTAGTCAAGTTTCGTGACCGCTACTCACCTCGTATGAAAGTGTGGCCGTCACTATATTCCAGTTATGATTTTTTTGTCTTATGCATCGACATATAGAGAGCTATAGTACCAACGTCTTATTTTGTGCTACATCCATAAAGATATGTTATATAGTCTATCAGCTCTAGATAATCGTGTAAACCTGGCACAATGTTAACCCCTGAAGATGGCGGCAACCACGGTGGGCCTGAGCAGTTCGTTCGAAAAGAAAATTATCAGTGAACCCGTTTATGTGACTCCAAAGATGCATTCAGATCAGGCCATTGATCGGTATTAGTTCTTCTGTACTGCAGGTATTATTGGAATCGAACTGAAATTGTGTATTACCTGAAAATTCGCACGTTTTGATGTCGGTAATTGCACGCTATATTGTATATATGTGATCATAGAGATATATTCAGCACGATTCGTCACGCTCTAGTGCCCATTATCACGTCGTAGTATCTCCCTCCTCTTGTAGGAGATTCTGAAGCCAGTTACACTATTTTCGACTGGCGGTTTGAAGCTGTATGGCTGAAGTGGGAGACTAATAGAATCATTCACCCCCTTTGGGGTGAGATAGGGGAATCTCACCCCGAGGGGGAAGATTCTTATGTTGCCAAACACGAGGCTTTGCCTAGTGTTTGGCAACTTAAGAATCTTTCCCCGAGGGTTGATATTCCCCTATCTTACCCACAAGGGGGTGAATGATTCTTTTTCTCTTACATGTACCCTGTTTTCCCCAATGTGTATCATATACACAATGCAATGATAACGTTACATGCTAAATTCAGGGTTGACGTGACGTTGATGGATTGTTGACGTGACGTCATTGTATTGTTGCAGTGACGTCATACCATTGTTATAAATAGGGGAATCCCCCCGTCTCAACCCTAGGGCGGAGACAGATAAATCTAGCACCGGTAAAACGGGAGATAAATCTGTCAGGTGTGGGAGAAATGCATGTACCCTATATAAGTTTGCTGAGTAGCATATGGGAAAGTAGAGCTTAATCAATGACCTTTGTAGACTAAGTTTGGGTGAACTATAATGTGAAGAGAAAGAGACAGTTTAAACGACCTATATCTCAGTTATTATGTACAGGGTTAATTAGATCTAACTACCAGTGTGTGTACCTATGTGCATCAAATGAGTGGAGATATGTATATACAGGACTAGCCATTATTATTACTTGTCTAGAGTCTCTTGAAGCAGGTCAGGCACAACAGTCTAAATACTCCCTCCAGTGGCAATGTCCAGCAAAGTACATCGACGCAGGTGTAGGGCATAACACATATTTCTATAAATGTTCTCTATCTTATACACTGTTTCGTTGTCCTGTAGGGTTAGCGGTAGGAGAGGATTGGTTACGTCAAGAACAGTCTGTAAAAACTTGTCAGCATCTCTGATGAGTGTTGAGCCAACTATATGGTCGCAGTTGTCAATGCTTTCTTGATGTATGAGCGATATGTAACGACTCATGACAGGTTCCAGTGCTGGGCACCGTAGTACAAAGTGTCGGATATCCCCACTACTGGCTTGGCACATGAGACATAATGGCTTGCAGTTTTTGAGGTACTTCGCTCTGGTGCTTTGAAGCGTGTATGACCGAGCAAGAAGCTTTGCTTTGACGGTGGCTTTCCCCACTGCCAGAGTGTCCATGGGCATCGAGTCAAAAACATTGTGAGCTGATGCAATGCGCATGGTGTCATGGTGTAGGTATGACAGCGAGGATTTTCCTTGGCGTAGGAGTTCCACATGCTTTTTCCAGTAGACATTAATGGCAATTTTGACGAGGTTTCGCCACTTTCCCTCTGTAAAGGCGGTGTCCAACAGATGGAGGAATGACGGGAGTCCATACCGTTCTGTCAGTTGTTGTATATGTATAAACCAACTGTTTGATGTTGGGCTTTTGATAATCAGTTGTCTTCGGGCAATTTCCCTCTCAGGGGAGTCTGTTCTAATTACATTATCGAAGAGCATTATGGCTTCCTTGTTTAGGTAGGCCTCAACTGGGAGTTCTCCATATATGATGTATACTGCAGAGTCGGCGGTAGATGACGGTAGTCCCATAATATGCTTTAGGACTTGTTTATGGTAGCGGTAGATGTTGGACATGTCCTTTTTGCTCAGGATGGCCGCTTCGTGCCCATACAGCATCCTTGGCCTTACATAAGTGTACCACAGCTGAATTAGAACCTTGGGGTTCACTCCACTGTACCCGTGTAGGCCGACTCCTATTAGTGAATAGGCCGTCCTCCTGGCGAGCTGGACCCTTTCTTCTGAGATGTTCATAACATATTTTTTGCTAGATGATGACCTATCTATCCCCAGGTGTGTATATGTTGATACAACTTCTAAGCTCTTGTTGGGGTCCAGGCTGATTTGGTTCACTTCAAGGAATTTCGGACGGTTGAAGATCACGATCTTGCTTTTAGTGACACTAAGGGAGTATCGTTCTCTTGAGGCAAAGTGTCCTTGAAGGTGGAGCATCACTTGTAGCTCACATGGATCATTTGACAGCAGAACGTTGTCGTCTGCACATGTAGAGCTGCTTACATGTGTCGTCCCTATTTTAAGGCCCAGTTCTTTTTCCTCCAAGAGGTCCAAGAATGGGTTTATGAACATCTTATACGCATTCGGAGACCAGCATCCACCCTGACGGACTCCTTGCTTTCGGAGATGTTGCCTTCCCATTTGACGCAGGATTTAGGGTTGTTGTACCACTCATTCATAAGAAGCCAGTCAGTAGACTGGAGGCCGTATTGGTGGAGTATGTACATGCACCAGTATTATGTCTGAGAGCATTACAAACACTCTTACGGACATTGACGCTACTCTTTCAAGTGTAATACCTCGTCAGTGTTAGAGACGACGCGAACAGTACTATATGGCGACATCATGAGCAATGGGTCAACTAAA